CTACCTACTACTAACTACTAACTACTAACTACTAAATGCTAACTACTAACTACTACCTACTAGCTACCTTTTGAAAGGAAATGAGCCACCACCCCGTACCCGTGCCAGCTAGCAAGTTGAAGGTGTTGGTAACCTGCTTGTAAGACCTACAGACATCTTGGGATGCGAATTTGCAGAGGGGTTGCAAGATGCTGCAACCCACCAAGAGCCAAGCCTGTGCCCGTACTTGTCATATGTGACAATCCTTGATAATTTGTAACACCATAACAAAAACGATCACCCAGTTTTGGGATAAGATTCATGCCGAGGTATTTATACAACCACGTCTATAGTTCGAGACGCAGCAGCCCTGCAGTAAGGCAGGGAGTTCTTCTCGAAAATGCGATGCAGCGTGCCGGCTTTATGTACGGCTACTACCTGGAGGACTGATTTCTTTGTGGGAAGCATTGCAAGTAGTCTCAGACGGCATCATGTTCATGTTCCACAGGCACACTACGTAATGCACAAGTTCTTTGACTTCGCAGATGTCACTCTTCAGTCAACAACGAGGCACAACAGCTGCAAGCGCGGCTCTGGCATCAAGGTTTAAAAGTGCAGGCTTCCGTGCAAGTCAGGACAAGAACTACGACGAGGGCACACGTGCCATCATGGAGGCTTGGCGCTTGGGCCTTCAGACTTCATTGTTGTTTTGCAGCTTGCAGTTTGGCAGTTCGTTCCGTGTCCGCAAGCTTGGAAGTCGCTCTTTTTCTTTAGGCAGCAGCGCGGAAGTCGCGCATACAGTACGGTCCGTTTCCAAAAGGTGCTGGAGGGAGATGCACCCCTGAAAGGGTTCAGCTCATCTCAAGCCCATGGCCATGGCTCCCGAACCCAGCCTTAAGCTTGACCCTTGAGACCCGAAGCTGCCGCAATTGATGCCTATCTCTTGCACGACAGCACCAATCGAGTCGGGCGACTTCGCTGTTATGCCCCGTGTCAAGTGAAGGTCCGAGCCCACAGAGCAAGAAGCCACTTACGACAGCATTGCCCGGCGCTGAACCGAAAACCCACGAAACTGCGAAACCCTCCACTAAAACTGCATGCGTTTGTGGCTCGGATAGCATCTTGCATGGACCAGGCTGCTGGGTTCTGGGTTTGGCATGTATGAGGTTTAGTGTGTTGTGATGCACGGCAGCCGCCTGACACAGCTTGACTACGATTTCAGGAAGTGTGACTGTTCAGGTGATGGATGTCTAGTTGAAGCCGAAGGCTAAGCCGCTAAGCGCAGTAAGTAGCCCTGCAGGGCTGTGGATTCGGGCCACACTTGCGAATTTCAGAGTCGATCGCACTTGCAGGCCCTCCGGAGCGTAGCTTCGGGCCTGAACTTAGGAGTTAGCTGGAGTGGCACAACTAGGAGTTCTGAGTTCTGGGTGTGTAGCCTGGAGACATGGCGTTCGTGAATGCCGCCACGGTGCGGCCACCCTCGAGTTACTCGGGCTACGCTTCTCCGGGCTTTGCTGGCGGCGCCGGCTTCTCCTCTCCTGGATTTGCTGGATCTCCTCCCAGGCTCGGCCTTGTTCGACCCGAGAATCGGCGGAGCCGAACCAGCCTGAGCCCTGTGATGCCAGCGCCTCTTGGACCGTCCTGCAGCGCCACGAGCCTGGTGTCCGCAGAAAGTGGGCCCAGTGCCAGAGCCCCGCCTCGCAGCGCAGGGTCGGTGCTGGGGCAGGGCCAGGTGTTGCAGGCCCCTCCATCGGTTCAACCGGCGATCGCCTTGCAAGGGCCCCTGCAAGCGGAACAGATGGTTTGGCCGCCGGATCCGACTGGACGATCGGTGCCGCAACCAGTACCGCTCTTTGGAAGGACCTTGAGATCCTCACCGGGCTCTACCACATCCTTGCAGGGTGCAGCTCAGAATTCACTGGTGATGCCTGCACCTGTGGCAAAGCCCATGTGGGTGATCGAGGAGGTGATCGACTTCGATGTCGAGGAGAAGGAGGAAGATCCTGATCTTGACGATTTCGGACGTGTTTGCCAGTCACGATTCTTCCCGGCTTCGCTCTTGGAAGGCTGCATGCTGTGGAACTGCAGCGAGGATGACGAGATCCGTAGACAACGATTGGCCGAACAGTGAGGCCAACGTCGCTATAGACTCTTATCGATGAGGGAGTTTTTGATGGTTCAGTGCCGAAAGCACCATGAATCTTCGTCTTCAACTTCTACAGCAATTGCGAAATAGATGCCAACAGACAATCCTCCCAACCATCCCCATCACAAGAGTACTACGCATTGTACTTGTAATCAGATTACGAAGAGTTTTGGCAATTCCGCCGGCAATGATCGTTTTAGCCAAAGCCGCAAATCCGGCACTGACAAGAAGATGTTGGTAGTGATGGCATAGAAGCAGCAGATACTCATGCGATAGATGCTACCGCAATAGCACAGGAAACTCGCACTGCCGATAGCAGGAACAGAAATAGTCCCAGTCATGAAGACAAGAATACAGCTACACATCAGTAATCAGAGTAGGGATGTTCGCTTCGGCTCATGGCCAGAGAAGTTTGAGTGCTAATGATCTTGCGCTTCCTCCCTGTTCCTTACAGACGACACGGAAGACAGAGTTTACCCGCCGCGGGTCCTGCAAAAGGAGATTTCGTGTGCCGTTTGGGCTCGAGTTGCTCTAGAGGCGGGAAATAGACATCCTCGCTGCCATTTGTCTACTCGTACACGTTGGAACCATTCAGCTGCTATTCGCCATGAGCCGCCTCTTCTCCATTATCTCGTCACACCATCAACGCCTTGTCGTCTCCATCATGACTATCCTCGCCGTCTATGTTCTGAGCCCATGCCCGCACTAAGCTGCCACAATAACGTAGAGCACCAACTAGCCAATGTCAGCGATGTCCCAGGGGGTTACCGCTTGGAGTCGCAGAGTCTCCATTTGGCGGTCACTTTTTTGGCGGAATGCGCCGAAAGCGTTTTGATTGACTCGCTGTCCATGATTACATTGCAATCGTCGTGTAGTGTCATGTCTGTCCTCGTTTCACAACAAGACCTCTGTCACCGCCATTGATTAATTCGACATTGCGATTTTTGGTCTTGAATGAGTTATCGAAAGCTTTCGGAAGATGTAGCATGCAAAGGCAGCTTCGTTTTTTCTTCGCAATCTCATGACGCGACACTCTAAGCCCTCCAAGGGAGCTCCGATTGGGGGTTCGAGGGCTCTGTGCTCCCTTCATAGGAAGGAACTCTAGACAGCGGCTTTACCGACACAGGCCATCTATGAACCGCAGCAAGAGCCCCTCGGCGGATCTGCGATGTGGGCCTTTGTCATTTTCGGAAGCTTTTCCAAGCTAGGCATCCATGGGCTTTTGCTGTACAATGACTGTCCTATCTACAGCGTGTAGGATACGTATCAGCCTGATTTCGAGCAACTCCAGAAATCTCGTGTCTTCAGGCTGTACAAATCTGATTTTGTCCAAGTCAGGATGGCCATGTTTCGTCGTGAAGGCACAACGGAAAGCTGGAATCAATACCCCATAGTATGTGGGGATCAGCTCCTACACAACTAGAACTCACAACCCACTGGACTAGCTTGGAATTGAATCTCAACCTGGCAGCCCAAACCATTGGCCTTGCACTCGCTGTCCCACATATCTCCTCAGCCGAATGCGCCCAGCCTTCTCAAATCGAAGCTTCCGAAGTCCTAAACCACATCCAGCCCTTCGAGGATACATAGCGAGGACATAGTAGTCCTAGCCAGCACAATCATAGGAATCGCTGTCATGCATCCCTGCTAGCACAAGTATCACCGTCTCTAGAGCTCTGGCCCTAGCTCTAAGCCCTAAAGTGGACAGACAATCGTTCTTTGAGGATGGCCGGAGAGGTCGCGGAGATGGTCAAAGATGACCAGGAGATGTCCCGAGTCAACAGGAGAGGGTTTAGGGGAGAGGATGGACCTTGACCATAAGTTAACATTCCTCAGCGTGTCGGAGCGGTTTGGGGGATCAAGGGGAGACGGGTTTATGAGAGTTGGCTTGAGGAGGGGACAGCAATCCACAGTTTTCGGGAGCCCTGAATTGGGAAGTCTGGTGGTTTGGTGGGTTCAAGGTGTTTGATTTCGATTTCGGTTGAGGGTATATGAGGTATATGTAACTAGAAGTAGTATTAAACAGGCCCAGCCCATTTGCGCTGCCGGGGGCCGTCTTGAAATATAAACAGCAACAAAGATGTTGCTTCCTAATTTAATTACAAACGTGACAGCCCGGGAGAGGGTTTGTTGACAGTTACCGGCTCAAGTTTCGTGGTTTTGTTGCATGGGGCGGGGACTGCCTTGAAACCCGACACCCCACCTGCCAGAGTTCTCACCTCACCCGTCATGCTCTTCACCTGGATCCTACCTTACTCCTAAAAAAGTTCGGATCCCGATGTTCTCCACCGTGAACCTGGAACCAAGCCAAAACCTTATGTCCCAGTCACAGGTGACTCTAGACTTCTTGAATCCTCGACCTCAAAGCCCTGCAGAAGATCAGACAAAGCGCGATTGCAGCCCGGAAACCCTTCGGCCCCCAATCCGAAGTCCCAAAAGAACATCCCAAAATGATTATCAATATAACACAGACAATAGCGACAGTCGTCATGCGAGATGAGTCTAACAATCTTCCTCCTCATCATCGTTGTCATCATCATCATCACCACCCACAAGAACATCATCATCATCATCCCTCGTCGAACCCTGAGCAGTCTCGAGGATAGCTGAAGCCCTGGGGCTCGAGTGCATCGGATGGGTCTTTACATCTCTTCCCTTGGCGCACGGCTCAGCAGAGTTGTTCACATAAGGCGTGCAGGGTTAGTTCAAGGTTACGGGATGCTCGGGGTATGCTCTGAAACCCGTGTTGGAGGGCGAACGGCGAACGGCTTGAGTTTCCCACCCTTTTTTCGTTCCCAAGCCTGAGGGATGAGCATCTTCTGGATCCACACAGACCTCCAAGCCCAAACGTGAGTCGTTGAAGCTCCACTTCGCAGGGGACTCATACCATCTTTTTCTTTGCCACTATCCTGACCCGTGCACAACCTCAAGCCCCTAGCAAACCCGGGAACCTCTCAAAGCCCCGACTCTCACCAAGGAGGATGGCCTTCTTCTCTCCCCCGAAGAGGTGGTTCGAATTGCGAGGCCCTGGTTCCGTGTTGCGCAGCTCACTATAATAGGTTGATTCTCCGGCTGTGGAGGCCTCAACAGGGGTCTGACGTACCGCTTCCGCTTCGCTGTGTGTCGGTGGCCTTGATGGCCGACTCGGGGCTTCCATGCCGCACTCCCAAGAAGTTGCCGATCCCGAGGTTCTGGAAAAGATCCTACATGCGCATGTCAATCCTGCTCCCAGAATGTGAATGATAGAGCCAAGCCTGGCAAGAATCGGAGATCCCCCGGTCCAGGAGCCCTGCATTACGAGCAGTATGTGACCCGTACATGCCCACATACAGTCGGGGGTGTTCAAGCGTCCACACTACCTTCTGGCAGGCTTCAGAATGACCACTCGACCGACAAGCATTTTACAAAGCTGGACTCCTGGAACTTCACTGCTTATGGCTCTGTGTTTGCGTTTTAGGATTAGTGGGTTCAAGACCTTTGGGATTCAGATCGCAGCTCAAAGACTGTTTAGGGCAACTTTAGGGTCCAGGCTGCCAGCAGCGGCCAGGGGGCGGGGGGTTCAGAGGCGCTCCCAAAGCTTACAACCCAGTTTGAAGCAGACAGCCGCGATGATAGTGGGTCCTCAGAGGGAGCCCTCGCTTGCTCCATGCCCAGGTTTGAGCATGTGTCCTTTGGTTTTGCTTTCCCCCAGTTCGCTCCCTGGGTCTGAAATCCTACGAGACCTAGGAGGCCTTTGCCCTGATAGAGAAAGCCCCTGTCAAGTGGCACGGCCCAGGTATACTTTGTCCAAGTTCGTGTCGTGCGCTGTGCGCTTGGGGCTCGGTGTGTTTGAAGACCTCACTTAGTGGGCAGTGAGCTTCTCGGTGTTTTTGAGACTTCTCGCCTTTCAAGATATATATAAGGTCGCACCTAGTGACGCAATGCAGCATCCATCCCCAAAGACATCCATGTGGCACCGTGTCTCACCCAAAGCATGCATGTCGGCCTGAGCATCAGATGCTCACTCTGGAACCCACTGCGCAGCTGTCATCACATCTACCTATCACTATCATCATTGTCAGCTTTGTCATCGTCTTCATCATCGTCGTCATCCATCCTCGCCATTGTGTTAATTGTGCTGCATGTATCCGTAGCCTTTCGACTTCCAGCTGCCCGCCGGCACCGAGATCTAATTCAATATGATATGTGTGACAAGCAGGAGTAGCAGCAAGTAAACATGCACGGGCCAGATTAGGCTGAAGGATTCAATGTGATGAACCTGGCAGAATGATGTACTATAATCTTCACTGGCCCTTTTTCAGGAATGCTCAAACCTAGTGTAGCAGTATCGATGACTTGTCCTGCTCCGATCATCAGTGCTTTACGTAGTTCGTACATACACCTAGCACTGCATCTTGCCTCTGTCACCATCCATGGTGCCCTATCACATAGCACGTGCGCGAGGAGCTCCAATATAATGTACAAACCGGGACAGCGACTGGGGCTCCAAAATATACTACACTAGCTGCCTATGATGGCACATTCGGTCATAAACTCTTGCAAGATATTTTGCTGCAGTACTTCGGGCAGGCCGCAGTAATCTATCCTGTTGCATTTCCGAAGAACGGTTATCTTCATTCTACTGTAGATACCTTTCCCGCAACACTAGCCCTCCATGCGCGCCCATTTTCTGTAAATGCTGAAGCTTGGCGGTTGCAAAAGTTCTGGTCTTAAGGCTAGACGCAACATCCCGAGTCTTGGATACGAAATCTGGAAGCCTACACTCCACACCTTTAACGCTAGAGCCCTAATTTAAACCCATGAGACCCCCAGCAAAACAGCTGTCTCAGAGCTGTCGGTGCGAGGCCCCGACCCTGCACATAACGGAGCGCCTGGGATCAACCCTTTCATGGCCCGATCCTCGAGGGACTTCTGGCTATCAAGAGGCTTGTGCTTCTGTAGAGCTTCCACCCTGCAACCGATACATCTTATAAATCCTAAACCTCAGTCACCCATGTGAACATAAGCTCAAACACCACGGCTCTGTTCATAGTCAAGCACGGGCAGTGACGGCAGGTGCAAACAGGTCCTTCAAGCGACAAACAAGTCAGACACCCTAAAGGCACAACGATGCTTGATGCGAACCACACAGCCGGATCTATCGGTTGTCTGTCGCCAACGCGTTGCGGATTCCGGGTTCCGGTTCCGGACGGTTTGTGTCCGAGTTCCAGGTTCCGGCGGTTCGGGGTGTCTATGTCCGGATCCGGGTTGCGGACTGTCCGGGCCGTGTTCCGGGTCGCTAGAGTTAACGCTAGAGCAGAGAAAGCGATGTTGTGACACAGCCTCCTGTGTCCTTCACTGCTAAGTGAGTGAAGTTGTTCAGTTTCATTACATAAAGCCGCTATAAGGCTGCAAGGATTATAGTAAAGATTCACTCTTCCAAACTAGAAAACACCCCACCCTATAATCCCTAAAGACAAGTCTCGCACGGGACGTCCGACGACATGGTCTTGCATAAGTCCAAAAATGGCCTTCAAACCTTAGACTCATACTTTTCTATAAGCTAATCCCCCAGGTCTCGGAGCAGGCCTGTGCCATGCTCCGTGATGGAATCCTGACGGCCACGCCAAGCGAGCGACGGGCCTGCGTGGTCCGCGAGGCCGGGGTGATAATAGGGGTCTTACGATCCAGCGCTCGGGCTTCATGTTAGGAGATTCGACTGGGGAGGCGGTCTGGACAGTTTGGTTTGGTGGGATCTTCCTGAGTCCTGAGGCTCTGTGGCGCATGTTATTGAGCTTGGCATGGGCTTGTTGTACTTGGGGGCACATTTTGCTGCAGTGTTTGTGTTTCATACGCATGGGACGGACGGCTCCAACGTTGTCATCTCGAATACCACACGATAATGCAAAGCACCGTCTGAGGTTATGAGGGTGCAGGACTGCAAGGGTTCAGAAGCTTCCGTTTCAGACTGTCCCACGGCTCAGACAGCTCCAAGGGGTTGCAAGGTTCGAGGCTGTATGGTTTTCAGCCGAACGGTTTCTCACCGAACTTTTGGATATAGTTCTGCCTTCCCACGTCCGGAAGCCAGTTTCGAGTTTCAGACTTGCGAGGATTTCGGGCATATTGGATGTCAGTGCTCCTTCGGCTCGGAGGTTTCGGGTTCGACCATGTTGGAAGCCCCTTTTCTAGCATTATAGCCCTGCATACCCCGATTATGCTTTCAGATCTCTATATTTGAGGGTGGATCAGGGGGGGGGGGTATCTATCCGCAGAGTAGAGCGGGAGCTTGTAGATCACAGCCGTGCCCTAGCTCTCCAAAGCCTCAAACACGCAGCTGTCGGCTAAGGCTTCAATTTCCATGCCGCAAGAAGCAGACGATAAAGTGTGAACCTGGACCCCGGCAAGCCCAGCCCGGCATGCACCGAGATCAGAGTACCTTATTTTGGGGGCCTTATAATAAGGATCCTACTATTTAGGGTGCTATATTAGGGTTAGCCCTTAGCCCGACTGTATCCGCCGGTCCTCCGCCCGCGGGAGCAGCTGAGGCCGGCAAAGACGAGATGATTCCGGACTTCGTTTGCGAAGGCATCGAGATGGAAGGGTTTCGGGGACTACTAAGTTACTAACTCAGGGGGGTTCAGGGCTCTGGGGATTTTGTGTGTTAAGCTTTAGCTTTGTATTTTTTTGCCACCGGTTTAGTTAAGGGCACCGGCCTTGTGATGTGTGATCACGACCACAAGCAGAACTCCAGGAACTCAGACTGCTCATAGGGGCGATGTTGCTGAGCTGACATGACCTGACTTAAGTCTGCAACGCGCAGGCCGAGCGCGACAGGTAAGCATGTTCGCGATGGGGCTCGCATAGGCTGGTCGTAAATTAAGTTCGGATCGATAAAAAGCTCAAAACTGAGTCAGAGGTTCCTTCGAATCCGTTTCTGAGCTCAGCTATACCGTGGTCTACACTGTGCTCTACAATCCCTCTTAGGCGTCTTCTGGCTCAACGTTCCTCCGTCAACTGGATGCCGTAGATAGGCGAGTCGATGCTCGGTGCGCTTGGCAATGGCACTAACTCTCACTACGATCCCTTTCAAAAGTCCAGAGAGGTGTTCTACACCCCCAACCCTATGGTGTCATGGCCCCCACAACCCGGTTTACAATTGAGCACTCATCATGCTTAAAACTGGGTCTGACATGTGGTTTTTGGATTGTGATATATATGCAGGGCATGTAAATGCTACAGATATGTATGTATTATATTATATATATATGTATACATATGTACGCATGTATGCATCGATGCATGGATGCATGTATGTATGTATCAATGTATCTATGTACCTATGTATGCAGCTATGTACCTATGTATGTATCTGTGTACCTATGCATGCATGTATGTATGTATGTATGTATGTATGTATGTATTTATGTATGTAGGTATGTACCTATGTACCTATGTACCTATGTACCTATGTATGTATGTATGTATGTATGTACGTACCTAATGTATGTATGTATGTATGTATGTATGTATGTATGTATGTATGTATGTATGTACGTATGTACGTATGTACGTATGTACGTATGTGTATGGTCATGTCATGTACGTACGTATGTATGTATGTATGTATGTATGTATGTATGCACGTGTGTACGTGCCATACTATACCATACCTACTGATAAACATGTATACGTACACGTTCATATGTGTATGTTATTCTTCACGTTGACGCCCAGAGGCACCTGGAGATGTCTGGAGTGTGGAGCTGTTTCGACCGATGCTTTCTCATGCGTATCTTATGTGTCATGGACCACATGAGTCAGGTAGATCCCCAAACCCTAAACCCCGAAAGTGTGAGGTAGATCTAGCAAGAAGATCGCCACCGACTTCTTCATTGTGCGAGTAAACGATACTGCGCCGAAGAAGGCAGGGATTGCCGCGAACCGCTCCGTAGTTTTCGGTGTATAAATTGGGATCGGCTAGGGCTCAAGGTTTTAGGGTGTCGGGGGGTTGAAGATGCTGCAGCATAGGGCATTCAACATTCTTGGGTATTACTTGTTTTCATGGCTTGGGTGACGGCTTTACCTGGCCCCGGACTATGACCCGAGTCTGCCGTCTTAATTTACTGACAATCTGAGTCACTTGATGCCGATTTGTTTCGTGTTCTGGTGATTCACTGGTGAATTCTAGAATCCTTCAAGTGGGGTACCGGCGACCAGGATTTCTTGCAGTAGATGTTGTACTAGCGCTCAAGCCGTCTTGGCTGAAATAACAAGTACGAAGATGGAGCCCAAACGTCGTGCATTATGCGATAGAATAGGATGTTGTGGTTTTGTTGCATATTTCCGTCTAGGCCAAATGGGACATGCATACATATGTGTGTGTGTGTATGTATGTATATATATATAAGATGCATCTGCATATAGTAGATATAGGACAGATATAGTGTCTGTCGGAAGGGATCTCCGGTATTCGCTGCCCTGTGAAGCATGAGCCGCAGGCTTCTTAAGTTTTGAATTGTCAGATGTCCCTATACCCCTTGCTCAACCTGAACTCCACAAATAGATCACAAGCCGGAATCCCTCAAGCTTGCATCGCAGCTCGCTCCATGTAGCACAATCCTCTTTGCATAACTCTGCTGATGACCTTCCGGCATGCTGCAGGGTATGTCTAGTGAGCAAGTTGTCCAAGAGCTGGCAAGTGTCAGTGTTGCTGCCCAAGGGCTTCGAGTCTTGGGTCAGGTATTGCTTCAGATGTCGGCTGCAATCTTGAGATGCAGCTGGTTGCCGTCGAGTTCATGTTACTGTAGGGATGCAAGGAGGGGGGTGTTCATTGACCGTTGGAATTTTTTAGGTATCTTGCATCGAAATAAAGTTGCCATCCTTGTGTCAGATGTCGTGACAGAAAAGTGACTTCGCATTTAAGCTTTCATCAGTGTGTCCCCCACGGCATACCGCTGAAGTTTGTCTTCGACTGTGCAATCCGCGCCCTTCTGCCGACATTAGGACATAGCAACAGGTTGTATCACGAAATGCGGACTACTCGCTATGAAATTAACACTGCAGGCCCATGTGTAGCCACAGCCATCCGGCATGCTTCCATGGCCCAATATGGCTTTTACTCACGATCCGCGCCCGTACCACGTTCCTTGATGCTTTGTGCCCTGCAGCATCAGCGACTGCTGACGCACGCAGAGTTTCCACGGGAAAATCGTCCCACGCCCCTTGTCAGCATACAGGCTTCGTCAGTCAGCACACAAAACGAACAGGACTTGAAATCGTGGTCTGGACAACTTTCTCCATCCCACTAGTCACTAATCCCTGAACCCGAAACCCACTTAGCAGCAGTGCAAAACAATGCGCTTTTTTCGGCCGGGAAGAGCCGTTGGCTGCTGCACTGCAGAGCCGGGAGACGGCGGCAAGATGTTTGCTATAGGAATGTTAAACATCACATCAGCATGCAGCAGCTTCGGCAAACAGATCCAAATCATAAAGACCCCTCAGGAGGAACCAAGATCGCCAATATTTGCATCTCAGTATCCTGGTAACCAGATCACAAAGAGTTCGGCTAGCCGCATATGATGGCCGTTTGTTTAGGGGCTCGAGGGATTTTCGGATTCAAGTTCTGCGTCTCCGGAGGATGTTCAGACGCTTCGGATCCTCCACTTCCGTGGGGCACTCACTCCAAGAATCCCAAGGAAACGGTAAGGCAGACAATAAGACTTGGCCCCAAAAGAACCCCACCGATCAGGACGAGGCCCCAAGAAAGAAGACAGGCGGAACAGGCTGACAAGCACTTTGCATCATCTCTTGAGACGCTGAGGCACCCTCAGCGAAGAGAAGACTTGAAAAAGGCGTGGGGGCACTTGTCGGCTTAGGTTGTTTAGGGTTTAGGTGTATAGGTTTACGATGAGCTTCTGGTGGCTTCGTCACTTTTTCTTTTGAGGTTAAGTACTCCCGGCCTTTAAAGCCAGAGCTCTTGCAACTCTCATCCTTAAACCATGCCTGCTCCCTCTGGTTGTCCTTTGAGGGTGAGGCCTTGGGAGAATTGAGTCTGATTCGGGTCTGCTCTCATGACCCGAGGCCTGAGACTGAAGCGCCGGAGTGTTCAATTTTGAACTATCCTTATAGGGTTCATTACCCAGGTGACCCCGTAGAGATCATCATCACCTTCTCCAGCACCATCTCCATCATCACCGCCATGATTGGCATCGTTCGGGTTGCATCTTGTTGTTGCGAGTGGCCTATGGCGCTTCGGTTGCAATCGGGGTTTGAGGCTTGCAGCTGTAATCCCTGGAGCCGGCATCAGTTGGGTACTACTAAACAGATGCTTATACCAAACTCAGACTGTTCTTTTCTTCTTCTGCGGACGACGGGACTAAATCTCGTCAATCCTGCAACTGGCCTGAAGCTCTCGAGCCCCGTGCAACGGACGAAGCAGATTGTTCGACACAGCGGTCACAAGCCTAAGTACACCCAGATTTCTTCAGCTTCAAGCCTTGTTTAGGGATGCAAATAAAGATCGTGCATGCCGCCACAGTCTCCCAAATTTTGGCTGTTCTAGCTACCTAAACCCTGCGTCACACATAGTATATCCAAAATCCTTAACCCCTGTTCCTTAAGTCTTTAAGTCCGTAAGTCCCCCCCGCTTCTGCCAAATCG